ATACCCTGAACGAATAAGTTTGATCTATGACACAATATGAATACAATATTAATAAAAAAAGATGTAGCAACAGTGTCAAAAAGACAACTGTAAACTGGGACAAAATGACGTTAAATAAAATAACGTACACGGGTAAATTTAAATATAATAATTTTGTTGTTAGGAGTACAGAAACATTTTTTAGAAAAATTAATAAATTTGTTGTTCACAGTACGAGTACAGAAGTGAAAATTTATCGTCATACTAAATACTTATCAAAGGTTGTACAAACTAAAAATAGTGAGACGAGATATAACATAAAATAAGTAAACATTGAATTACAGAAATGCATTACAAATTGTGTCAACAGGTCAAACCAACACGAAAGTACGATTTGAAAGTATTCGAAGTTACTGAAAGCTAATTAAAAGCCAAAAACAATTAATAATTAAAAATCTTGCATCAGAGACTAAAATCAATAAAAACACATCCCAGGGATTTAGTGTTTTAACGCCATGAAGAGTCAAAGAAGACATGACTTGTGTAATGCCAAAAAAAAAAGTATCGACAGGTAGTAGGATAGTTAGGACTTAACCTTATAATAAATATGTATCATGCTATATATAGATAAAGCCATCTCTGAATAGAAAATAAACGTGGATGTGTATTTATACATCCAAAAAAACATTTGAAAAGAATACAAATTTAGTTATGTTTTAATTTGTTGATGACAAAATCGATGTTAGTGCCAATGAAAGCAATATTCTAAGATCGTATTACAACATAAATAAGATAACCTTTACTAATAAGTTTGTTTAAAGGTTCGATGAGTTTACACGGATTGCATAGTGATTTTCGCGCTTTTAGTACAATGGTACCGTACAATTTAGGACGTAAAATACCGTTTTAATCAGTTTTCTCCAGGTACAGCCAAATTTACCAATCAATTGTTTGTATCTATGAAAGAATCAAGTAAATGTTTTAAGTAATTTATAGTAACGAAATCCCTGACTTAATAATTTACCAATGATGCATTGATTGCGTTCGTTAAAATCTATGAAATCACTACACACACGGGCATAACTAACGAGTTGGGATTTATAAACACCGTATAATGGAGCCAACACAACATCGCCGTCTAAAAAAGGAAAATTAACAATAGGGAATGAAAAATTATCTCTTTTGTCGTAAATTTTAGTATGTAGTTTCCCTTTAGAAATTGAAACGTCTAAATCTAGAAAAGAACAACTACTGCTGTTATGTTAGATCTATTTAAAGTAAGCTCCTTTGGGTAAATTTGGTAGTTTATTTAGAGAACTCTGGATTATTTAACGAAAAAATATCATCAAGATAACGATAGGTATTGTTTAATGTGTTAACCAAATGTAACAATGACGTGTCTTTATTGAGTTTGGCCATAAACTGTGATTCATAGCAATATAGGAATAAACTTGCTATTAAAGGGGCGCAATTAGTGCAAATAGGAATAAATACTACCTGTCGATACAATTTATCGCCGAAACGTACATATATGTTGTCCAGGAGAAAATTTAAAGCTTCAATCATATCTTTACATTTCCAGTAAGTGTATCTAGCATACTTTCCTTTTTCGTTACAAAAAAAGGCTTTAAAAGAGTTACAGAAAATAAATATGCAATGAGACTTTTCAAAAGACCGTTTCATTAAATATGAACACTTTTCTTGATAAGATTGTGTGGAAGTGTAGTGTAGAGAGTAGAAAAATCATAACTGCCAACAGAATTAAAAGGACCATCAAAAGCATGTATTTTATCTAAGACCTCTAAAGAATTTTTAACACTCTAAAATAATTAATACCATTATTTTCATAAACTTTATTACAAAAGTTAATAACAAGTTCTTTGATAGTAGCAAGGGGGGTAGTTAGAAGCACTGACAGATTAGTAGTAGAACACTTACTAGAAGCGGAGATGAAACAAAATTTGAATGATTGTTTGTGTGATTTAGGTAACCAGTACATAGTCGGGTCTTTCAAATGTTCGGAAGAGGCTTTAAGCTGGGTAGTGGCAATTATATGCTTGTTTACAATTTGACTCTGTGTGGAGCCTACGGACCTGAATGTAGAAGAATTGATAATTTCGTTTTGGAGAACTTCCGTGTAGTATATGCGTCACACCACCACTATATTATATGTTTTGAAATTATAGCTAAACTTTGGTTGGCAAATTTTTATTCGTTATTGCAAAAAATGAACTTAAAATATCTGTCATTTTTTCCATACCCAGTTTACTCATATTATTTATTATGATGTGGACCGGTCATTGTTATTGAATCTTACACAATTTGATTGGATTAAGTTATTATTAGTTAACCTTCAAACTGTTTATTTTTTTCATACACGTATATTGATTAAATCAGAACATGCATAAATGTGTACAGTAACTTAAATGACTTTCAAACTTGACACTGAACGAGTCCATATTATTTTTATCAATGAAACTAAAGGTATGAAAGGTAAAAATTGCCCCTTCGTATATTTTCACAAAATTTTCCACATATATGATAACCAAATTTCTCCGATAGTTGCAGTTAGTTGACTTTTTTGTCCAACACAAAATATATATATATTTCGTTTTTGCGCCATTTATATCACCTATTCATTAGACCAAGATGGTTTCAAAGAGGGGTAAAATGGCCTACTCTTCTTCCATTGCAACGATTTGTTTACTTCCAGCTGTCTTTCATTTACTGCATCGATCAGGGACGAGAAAATAAAAATTCAAAATGAAATTCATTTAAACTGCGATTTCGAATGAACGTCTCCGTTTAATTTGGTGGTGTAAAATCCACGCTTTCTCTGGCTTCCTCCACCAACAAAAACTGGCTACCATGATATACTAGTAACCAAGTGTGCTGAAAGAGCTCTTAAACACCAAACATCAATCTATCTTTCATTTCGTTAATGTTAAAAATACCGCTAAAATGACAGGAATACAGTACAAATAAACGCAAGAACACTCAGGACAGAGAAATACATAAATAACTAATATAATAGTACATTACAACATGTAAACCAAAGAATAACACCAGACACCTCCCATGTACACCACAATAGAATTATGAACTGTCCGTCACACGAATGTATCAACGCCACAAAAAGTGACGTCACAGGTAAATTTCTAAAAATAGAATATAAAATTGGGATTAAGTTTGTAATGGTGTTATTTTATGTATTTTCTAACCATTACAAGAATATTAATATAGAACTGTGTTAATTACGGTGTAATTATTTGTATTTTCTAACCATGTCGGTTTTTCTTCAAAATCAAAACTGTGTAAAAACAAATAAATCCTATGCATAAAGTTGCTTTAAACTAAAAATCATAAAAATGAACTAGCTGATTATCTTAACTTTTACATACATATAGAAAATAAAAATAGAATTCAAACCACAAACGATAAGACATAACACAATATCCAAACAGAATTACAAACGAAACATCATAACTAAATACATGAATGTTGGATGTATAAATACCGAGACACGTCTAATAGCAATGCAAATTCACACTCGGGAATATGTCACTTTCGGTACTTAGAAGACCAGACGACGTAGATGGTAAACCACAATCTAAGACTTGGTAAAAATGTCGTTAGTTAGTTTAGACACAGACACATCGTATAGATCAACCAATTCGTGATGGTGTCCATAAAATTTACAGAGTGACATTTTTAATCTTTCCTCCTCAAAACTTTGACTGAGCAGTTTCTGCGTAAGAAGCACACTCCTGTATATGAAGTCCTTGTACTGTGAACATGCACGAGCATAACGTTTCAACTGAGATATGTAAACACCATACGATGGGGCAGAGGGTATGTCACTGCTGAGAAATGGTAAATTGATAATTGGGAAGTTGAAATCGTCCCGTTTGTCACAGATTTTAAGTGTGTAGTCGTCCATCTGTTTCAATATTGAGGAAAAGATCAAGGTATGAAACAGTCCTTCTAGTATCAGTAGTATCCTTAATTTCAAGTTCACTGGGATATATGAAAGAATGTACTGATTGAAATATGGGTTATTCAGTGATAGGACATCATCAATATATCTGCAAGTAAAATTAAAGACTTTTGCAAGGTGCTTTTTCTTTTTGTCTTTTAGAAGGTTCTGAATTAATTCTGCTTCATACGAGTACAAAAACAAATCGGCTAGTAGGGGTGCACAATTAGTACCCATTTGAATACCAACTGTCTGTTGAAATATCAATCCTCCAAACTTAACAAATATATTGTCGATCAAAAAGTCCAGCATTTTGATATTTTGATATCATCCTCAGCACATTTTCTGATAGAATCAGTATGGTTCTTCACAAAATAAGAATTATTATAACCCAAAACAAGAAATTTATATCTACGATTCCCATTTTTTATAGAAAAAGCTCTGTTTGATGAGATGGTGAAGTCGATCTTTCAATTGAGCATGGGGAATAGTAGTGTAAAGCGTAGAAAAATCAAAGGTTTTAATGTTGCTGCAAAATTGCAGAGATTGTGATCTAAGATTTAGAAGTAGATCTTTAGGATTTTTAAGAATCCACATCTGATTGACACCACTGGTTGAATATATTCATTAAAGTTTGAAATGTTGACACAGAAATAATAATGCAATTGTTGAAATATAAATAAGTACACGTAAACTATTCAACTGTTAATCACTCATGAGCCACGGGAAAAGACCAAATAATCTTTGTGGAAATGAGATATACTAATGCTCATCCACCTCCATGCTAAATAATATTGACTTACCGTAAGTGGTTAAACTTAGTGGTTCCCCTCAGACTGAACTAATTACAAACTTAACATTCAAACTATGGAAACGTGTAATAATTTCAATAGACTATGACTGAGGGAGCGGGACCAAACAATATTCAACAAATTATTGACGCCGTTGAATAAACTACTATAAAGACAGGAAACAGGACGCCCCGCGAGGCGAAACAAAATTAAGCTAATCATTTAAAAATGATTTCAAAGAAACAATACGTCTGTAAATAAGAAACATTCTTAATGAACACCAAAAAGAACATGTTGACTTCTGATATTCTTTTATGTTTTGTGAAAGCATACATCATACATATTGAACTGCTTGGAGATACAAATGTGATTCGCTACTCTCTACACCCTCGTTTAATTCATGTTCATTTCCTGTCGTTGTCACTGTTGAAAATTTCTGATTTAATTCGTCAATATATGTTTGAAATCTCTTGTGAGTTTGTGGATCTTGCAGTTTGGATTGTTTATTTTCTACGTCTTGTTTTCTCCCCCATATTGTCGTTTGTTGTTGTGGTACATTCGGGGTGCTACTAGTTTTAGATGTGGGATTGTGATTTATTACAGAACCGACCTGTCTTTGTAAATGTACAGATCCTTGAAAAGGTAAAACAGAGGAAAGAAATGGTTGGTTCCTTACATGATAACTATCCAACGGTCGTCTTTCTGATTCCATGAAAACAGGTGGAGATCGAGGTGTTGTATTATAATGGAGATTATGTATCAACGGATTCTGTGAAGTATGGCTAATTGGTCCCTTGGAATCTCTAGTTAGATTTTCCAAACTGAGAATTCTTTGTGGCAATGAAAACTCTCTTTGTCCAACAGTTGACGAGTCGCTTTGACAACGATAACTAGACGATCTTCTACCACTGCGTGTGTAAACGGTTGAACCTCTTGATAAAATAAATCCCGAAGACTCTGATTGGTCAGATACAGTAGGTTGAAATGTGTGTTCATTTGTTGGTTGGTCTATCTTTCTAGTACGAAGAGGTATTTCAGGTCTTGGAGTATCATAATCAGCTATTTCAGTATCTAGTTGTTTATCGAAAAGTGAATGGTCAATATCTAAGAGAGGATCCCTACAAAATGGCAATAATTATTTTGATCAATGCACCTTTTAGAATCTTTAGATGTATTTCAAAGAGATTGTACAGGTAAGCTACGACATTTGGATTGTTTGAAATATTAACTTATCTTTTCTAACAGCAAAATGTCTTACTAACTTTTAAATACCGAGGTATATATTTAGGTTCGTGTCTGAGTAATTGCTATCTATGAATCCTGTTAAGGGAAGTTTATTTGGCACATAAGTAATAATGCATTAGTAGGTAACAAGATAAAGTTGAAAATGAATATTCTAACAAAAACATTGATCAAAATTTAATAACATAGTTAGGTTTTGATATCTTTTCCTTGTTTACCATGTATTCATTTACGGCTCCTTTTTAGCAGAGTTTTATATAATCAGAAACAAAATTGTAATCAAGTTATGAATATAAGAAGATTTGGAGTACACCAACCTTATACCACAAAAAAAAATAAAAAAACATCTAGTTACCCCATTTGGCGTGATATAATATTTTTAAGCCACAGAGCAGATGGTCTCTGTGTCCTATCCCGATCCCAACACTTAAGTAATATTCCATACAACCAATCAGGGCATAATTTTGGTCTTGGTGGCACTGCTCCATTATATAAAACGTCTAAAAGCTGAAATAAAAAAGTGAATGGAAAATATAAATATTCATGCTGTCCTTACTCAAAATATGGAATTTAAACAGTATAATAAATAGGAAAAGTTATTCTTGTTTTACGTTTTGATTTTTACTTTTATATTCATTCCATTAAGAAGCATATCTTATACTTTATGGATAATAAATTATTTTTGAAATATGTTAAGTTCAGAAATAAAGAAATTTAATCTATCCACATAAAGTAGATTAATTAAAAACATCTTAGATGACTGCTTCTCAATTTCTATTTTTTAACGACATACAAAAACATTCATCTCTCCTTTCCTGGAAATTAGCATTTCCACAGTGTCTCCTTGTCATGATAGCATTTCGGACTTTATTCGCTTTTAAAATTTCCTGCTTATTTTAGTTATGGCAACCATAAAAGTTTTTCTGCTGTCTTGATCGTATCAAAGTATTTTTTTACATACTATAATTATCAATGAAAATTCTTTTACACGATTATTTTGACAGACACTACTTTGAAACCACCAACACCGATATTTTTAATTTAAGAAAACATATGGTTGCAATCACAAGATAGAAGACAGCTAATGGGGTGACAAGCTTCAATATAATTTAAGATATATAACCGTTAATATTTTATCAGATCTGGCTCAATACGAGCTTTGGTATTTTTCGTTTTTTGCCGTGGCGTTGTCAGTTTATTTTTGACTTATGAGTTTAATGTCCCTTTGGTATCATTCGCCTCCCTTTTGGATAAAGAGCAAGGGAATAGCTATAGGTATACGGAGAAAGATTATTTAATAACTTCCAGAAAACATAATCAGTCCAGTTTGTGAGGGGAATTGACTTGTTTATGTTTTATATTTCAGTAATTCCGTTATTGATCATTTACTGTTTGTGCGCTTCTCCAAGTCTATTTTCAGTTTTTTCTTTATTGTACCTCTCAGGGGCGTAGCTAGGTATCTAATAAACTCTAGGCATAATGTGCGGCAAGGGGTCTGGGGGTCGCTCAAGGCCCCCAGCAGGTCCAGGGCAGAGCCCTGGTAGGGGTTCAGGGGGCGAAGCATTTTACTTGCAAAATGTTGTGTACAAGAAAACATGAAAACTGGTCATTTTATCATGATATTATACATGAAAAAAATTTCGAAGAAATTATGATATACATAATTTTACAATTACATCTGACTGATGATTTAACCGGCAGCACAATCGGAAATATATATAAAAAAAAATATTTACGATAAGCATTGCCCAGCATGGATCAGCGTAGCCCTTTATGATCCTTTATTAAGCAACACAACCTGTTTAGTATTTTCATATCTATTCCTTTCTGATTAAGGATAATTGATATATACGTCAATTGATAGTACATATTGACGATCCTACATTTAAAAGAAACCTTCACCGTCCGCTGGCGACACAAACACATACACACACAGTCGATGCCTCATGCAGAAGTTCTGTTCTGTTCATCCTATCGAATAAAATTCAAGAAATTTATATTTTCTTATGTCCTGTACTTTAAAATCCCTACCTGTTTAGGAATTTGAATAATTATGGTCAATACACGTCTCACGATGAAAAGGATTTAGCAAATAGGTTTTGTGAATTTTTTCTTGGAAAAATTGATACCATTCGAAATGGATTATGTGCATCGATCGGCGAAATGTCGGGAATTCGTAATTATCTATCAGCTGATCAGAAATTCAAGGGCGTGCATTTACATGTTCTACCTCCTGCAACACTCGAAGAAGTCAAGAAAATTATTCTGAAAGCGCCATCCAAATCTTGTGAACTGGACCCTTTGCCAACACACCTTCTCAAAGAGTGCATAGACAATTTAGCGCCTGTTATTAAGGACATAGTGAACATGTCGTTGGCTGAATCGATAGTACCTTCAACTTTCAAAGAGGCAGTTGTGCGGCCTTCACTAAAGAAAGCAAACCTAGACAAAGAAGTTCTAAAAAATTACCGCCCTGTGTCAAATTTGTCATTTGTATCCAAAGTTGTCGAGAGAGTTGTTGACACGAGATTTGGATCTCATATCATGTTGATCTTTACATGACGATATGCAGTCAGCATATCGCACCGGACATTCAACTGAAACAGCACTGATCCGTGTTCATCATGACATTACACACGCACTCGACAACAACTCTTGTGTAATATTGCTGATGTTGGATCTCTCAGCAGCGTTCGACGTGATCGATCACGACATTCTTTTCGATCGTCTACAGTATACTTTTGGTATATCTGGAACAGCCTTGTCGTGGCTTCGTTCCTACTTGACTAATAGGTCGCAATGTGTCTCCATTGGATCTGTTCACTCCGACAATATGGTTCTGAAATATGGTGTCCCACAGGGTTCCGTGCTTGGACCGTGACTTTATTCCATGTTTTCGTACCCGGTTAGTGAAATCTGTAAGACGCATGGCATGGCATACCACTGTTATGCGGATGATACACAAATTTATCAAGTCATCAAACCATTAGATAATTGGGATGACATTACCGAGCGCCTAGAAGCTTGTTCAGAAGATATTAAAACTTGGATGTGTACAAATATGTTAAAGTTAAGCCAGGACAAGACCGAATTGATTGTGTTTGCTCCAAAACACAAAGTCAAAAGTCTTATTAAGTTACGACTGAATTTTAATGGAACTATACTAAGTGAATCTACCTGTGTTCGAAATCTAGGAGTTTTTCTCGATTAAACCCTCAGCATGCAGCAACTCACCAATGCAATTATCAAATCCTGTTTCCATCAGATTCGTAACATAGGAAGGATTCGATCATATATAAAGGAGGACGCTTGCAAAACTCTTGTATGCTCTCTTGTCACGTCGCGACTTGATTATGGTAATGCTTTAATGTATGGTGTGAATGCCTCGAGTCTATCCAAACTTCAGCGTGTTCAGAACACCGCTGCCAGGCTAGTAACCCGCAAAAAGAAGTTTGAACATATAACTCCAACACTTATGACTCTTCATTGGCTACCATTTAAATTCCGATGCCAGTATAAACTGTTGCTTTACGCATTCAAAGCCTTGCATGGACTTGCACCTGCGTATCTGCGTGAACTCATACATTTTTACAAACCAGCACGATCGTTGCGATCTGAAAATGCTGCTTTAATCAAGATGCCAAAAAATGCACGGACAAAAATGTATGGTGAACGGAGGTTTGATGTGGCGGCCGGGACTCTGTGGAATAGCCTTCCAACAAATCTTAGAAATGAACAATCGCTAGAACTATTCAAGAAAGGACTAAAGACGCATTTATTCAAAGTTGCATTTGTGGATCGCTTATAGTTAAGACCTGGAACCGTGATTAATTGTATTTGACTGATGTTGATTTGCTAAAGTAATATTTAGTACATTTTAGTCTGATTTGATGTGTTTCTGTATATTTTGATATAACATTTTATTATAAGCCTATGTCTTTTAGTAACTTATTTTTAAATACAAAATAGTAGTAGCAATCACCAATTTTAGAAATATTTAATAGATAACAAGTATTGAAATTTTTACTTATTCATTAATAATTCTTTTATTTAATTTTTAACCAAGTTGATGAAGTTTTAGAGTGTTAACTTTTTATAGTTGATTTGATGATGTATGCTTCTAAACATAATTTGGTCTATTTTTAACTTTGTAGTTTCGTGTTTGTACGAACTTGTGTATATTTGTTTTAACATGTAAAGCGCTTAGAGTAATTGTAGTATTATATAATGCGCTTTAAAAATGCTAATAATAATAATAATAATAGATCTGAGAGTACTCGAAGTTACTGAAAGCTAGTTGATTGATTGATTGCTAAACTGCAGTGGCAAATAGTTCATGCATGTTCAGGACAAAAACAAATTTACAATAAATACAACAGGTAGCTAGGTCCTGTAATAGGGTACGTCCAGGACGATGGTGTGGAAATTTGGAAACGCTATGTATTGGAAAATGAGGGTTTATTGGATAGGAACAGAAATTTTGCCTTTCAGTAGACCACCTACGAACCCTTAAAGAGTTGTTGCAAGTTTCTTAACGTGCGGAGAGCGTGGCATTATCTCTACACTAGGTATCGGATTTAACGTCCCCATTCTGACTAGACGTGACTGCGTATTTATACATCCTGCACAGCCACACGAACGCCCAACTTTGGCAAGGGTTTTACTGTAGGTCGGATAAAGACCAAGTGGAAAGCTAATTCAAAGCCAACAACAACTAATTAAAAAAAATCATGTGTCTAAGTTGAGGTTCATTCAAGTATTTGTCGATATAAGTGAAATGATCTGAACCAAAGTTCTAGTTTATAGTTTCGATATACGGGGGAATATAACATGTATAATGACATACAATTCTATCCAATACTTCATTCACTAAGGATGATAGACTAGTGTACACATGCCATTCGATAATTAAAGAGTTTTGACGACTTCACTGGCGTGCATCTACAGATAACGTTGTTTATTATTTTTTTTAATAAAAAAAATATTTGCGAAGAAATTATGTGTAGGCACGTGTCTTAAGTGCCTTAAGTGCCTAACGGCAGCTACGCCCCTGCGGCCTCTTTATTTTCGAGTTTGTTATTCAATGTAACTAAACTCATCATAGATACCAGGCTTCAATGTATCTGTAACCTTTTGGGTTTATCTTTTAGTGACAGAAATATAAATGTGCATAAATGAATAATTGTGTTTTATTCAATTATTTTAAGAAAACTCACCACATCACTTTCAATGTGTGCAAATGGTGCACAGTTAAGTTGATCAGCCATTGGATCATGACTATGTATATTTAATGCAGTGTAGAACTCATATACAGTCATGGCAAAGCGATAGATATCACTTTCGTAGGAATATTGTCCATGCTGAAGAACTTCAATTGGATTCCTATTCATCATAAATTACAGTTTGTCACATGATAGTTTTGCATATTACAGACTGATCAATTCTTCTACATAGATCAACTTAATGGTTTGTACTAACATGAGCAACAACACGGGTGCCAGGATCTGCTTACCCTTCCGGAGCACCTGAGATCACCCTCAGTATTTGGTGGGGTTTGTGTTGCTCAGTCTTTGGTTTTCCATGTTGTATTTTGTGTACTGTTGTTTGTTTGTCTTTTTATTTTTAGCCATGGCGTTGTCAGTTTATTTTGGACTTGTGAGTTTGAATGTCCCTTTGGTATCCTTCGCCTATCTTTTATTGAAGGCAGCAACATGAGAAAAGTAAGTACGTTACAAACGTGATGAATTCAACTTTCCAATTGTCAATTGTCATTTCTTAGCAGTAACATACCATTTACCCCATCGTATGGAGTATACATATATCAATTATTACGTTACGAACGACCGATACAACGTGTCTATGTCTAATCCCACTAGGGACATGTTTTCGCGATCTTAGATCTTTACATACCAGAATAAACGTCTGATTTGTCATTTTACCGAGTGTGTCCTATTCCCGATTGTGAAATTTGACCGAGTGAGGATTCGCATGGCGGGTAGTGCATGCATAGAAGGTGACGCTTACCATGTCGACCAACCCGGTATTACTCATCAAATTTGTGTTTGTTGTCTTGATTTGTATCTTTTTATCGGTTTATGATATTTGAACTTCGGTAAACTACTGTTTCCTAAAATTCATGATATTTGATATTGTAGTTTTTGAAGAATTATCTTATTCATTAACTCATCTTTTCAAACCTTTTTTTTTATTTTTGCTTTTAAATATGTTCTATAATATCTATACACACCTGTTATTAGATAATTCATGCATCTCTTTTGCAAATTAAGAATATTAGGTAAGAACTATATAATTTCGAATACAGAACAGAAAAACAACCGTATTTATCCATATTTTTATCATTTTGAAATATTATCCACTTGATGTGTATTGCAATAACTTTAGTTCATGGATGTACGTACTTATTTATAAATTATAAAGGTAGTGCATAACTTACCATCTTCGCCTGTCTTGATACATACACCCAAGTAAACAATCTTCCATCCCATCAGATTCTTCAAAGTATAACACTCTTCCAATCCTTGGCAAAAATACCTTTAAAGATTAAGAAAACACTAATTACATAGAATGTTTACTTATTTAGTGTTATATCTCGTCTCACTATTTTTAATATATACCATATTTTGATAAGTGTTTGGTATGACGATAAATTTTCACTTCTGTTCTCGTACTATGAACAACAAAATCATTTATTTTGTAAAAAATATTTCCGTTCTCCATGTTTACCTTACAACAAAATTATTTTTATTTACTTGTGTACGGCATTTTATTTGGCGGCATTTTGTCCAAGGTTATGGTTGTCTTTCTGATATTGTTTTACATCTCCCCCGTTTTTTTTAATTTATTTTGTATTTACATTGTGTCATAGATCAATTTTATTCGTTCAGTGTATGTTTACTTGTTTTTGTTAATATGTCTTTTGATTGAGTTAAGCCATTTCAATTGATATCTTATAGCGTGTCTTTCTATGTTGTGATGTTACACTATTGTTTCAGGTTAGGGTGAAGGTTGGCACCTGTTGAAACGTTTTAACTCGCTGCATTTGTTTGCATCTGTCCTAATTCAGGAACCTGTTGTTCAGTGGTTGTCGTTTGTTGATGTGGTTCATAAGTGTTTCTCGTTTCTCGTTTTTATATAGATTAGACCGTTGGTTTTCCTATTCGAATGGTTTTTACACTAGTCATTTTGGGGCCAAATCCAAATCCAAAACAACGCTTCGTAAATTTATAAAGTGTTTTCTCCCCTTTATAAAATTGATATATCCACTTGAAAAATCAAGATAACAAATAAAATAATATAAAACCAACTATGTAGCTACATGTTTAAATTGGTTCAACACGAACAAATATCGTTTTATAAGTATAAATTTGTAAGAAAACGCTTTTGTTTCTGCCTTTTGTACCTTCTGAACATTTTTAAAACATTCTTTCGTATAATGGCGGTTAAAGCTTAAAAAGGTTAAAAGTATTTGAAGATATGCATTAATTTATATCTACAGGTGTAATGATGCTTTACATAAACGTCTGTTAAAACTATTAAAACTTTGACTTTAAAATATTTTAACAATAGTGTTAGGTGTAACTAGAATCTATAAAGAGCCTGTGTTGCTCACCTAGGTCTATGAGCATTTTCAACAATGGACTATCTCCAACATTGTGGACTAGAATAGTTTTTATGACAAAAATCTTTTTTTTTTGTTGATCTTGTACTGCTGATAATTTTTTCTGCCTACATTTTCTCTCTATTTTAATTGCTTTTTGCTTAAAACACAATCTGTCTATCTTTTATAGTTTTCAAGATAGTAGGCAAACACGTAAATTATTGGTAAACATCGTCATTAAAGAGCAAGTACTCCTACAAGGAGTTGACTGGCAATTTCGGCTATTTGACTTATTTGAAGATCAAGTCTTGCTGATCATTTTTTCTATTCTAAGTTCCTATCTATCTATTACAATTTGTCAGGTATTACGCAAAAACGATAAAAATCATTATCAAACTCCAATAAGGGGTCGTCAGATGATTACAAGATTAAAAATTTTTTGGAGATCTTGTCTTGCTAATCACTTTTGCTTATTTAAGTTTCTTTCTATCTATAATTATCAAAAAAATGATTAAAAAAATCGTCATTAAAGGGCAATAACTCTAATAAGGAGTCGTTTGTCGATTTTGACCATGCGGACTTATTTGTAGATCTTGTCTTGTTGATCGTTTTTGGTATATAAAGTTTCTCTCTATCTAATATAGTTTTTCAGGTATAAGGGAAACATGAAAAATTCGGTAAAATTTGTCATTTAAGTTCAATAACTCCTATAAGAATTCGTCTGACAGTTTTGAAGGAATTAAACAATATGTAGATCTCATCATTCTAAACATTTTTAGCAATGTCGGCCATATTGGTTGGCAAGCAGGGTCATCGGACACATTTTTTAAACAAAATACCCTAATGATGATTATGGCCAAGTTTGGTTAAAGGAGCAGGCCCGGTAAGACCCCTTTTTGGCCCAAAAATATAGCATTTTTACAATTTGTGTAAAACGTAAACTATTAGTTATTTATTGGAAAGTAGAATACTTTTGTTACATAAATAGGGGCTATTTTTGACAATACAATGCACATGCATCAGGAACTAGCATCAATAATTCATGTGAAATTACTGAAATCTCCACAATGTAATCGTTTGTGCTAATTTTTAGACGGTTTTTGTCTAAAGTGGAAGTGGCCGCACTTGTGTTCAGTCTTGAATATTTAAATACATGTTGTATTTGATGATAATACATAACATATATAAAGGTTGAGACTGAAAACGAATGCAGCCACTTACATTTTAGACAAAAACCATCTGAAAAGAGACGTTTTATGGCATATTTGATATATTTTTCATATTGAAGCTTGAATTTGACCGTCTTGCATAACCAAATCATTTGAAATCGTTTACATAAACTAATTGAATCGAATGAAGTAGACATTTGAATGTTTAAAAAATGTAAAAAATCTTCCATCAGATGTACTTTAAATTTAAGGCAAAAATTAGCCCTTACCCTCTCCTTTGGTCCAGTAGTTTCAGAGGAGAAGGTTTTTGTAAAAGTTAACGACTACGGACGACGACGACGGACGACGAACGCCAAGTGATGAGAAAAGCTCACTTGGCCTTTTAGGCCAGGTGAGATAAAAAGAGAGGTTTTATTCAATCTGTCAAAAAATAACACGTTAATATCTACATCGTAAAATACGTAAAACCTATCCTAATGGACATTAATTAAGCACAACAAATTATTTACCTGCTTGGTGTCGTCAGAAACAAATAAATTTTCCGCACAAAGATCTCCTAAAATAAAATGTCGGCGATGCATTTCGGAAATAAAATGCGCAATTTTGACAACTATGTGGATGAAATCGTCTTTGGTTGTTGCTAGATTTCCATGGCGATGTTTGAAAGGATGTGTAAACGCAAATTCTAATAGGTTATTTCCTCTTACTGTCCTGTATTTCTGTAAGACACAAGTTACATACTGATGATAAACCTTCAGTAAAAATTGTTTAGTTTCTCAGATGTACGTTTTTGATATACTAGTAGTAGTACATATACAATACGTATACGATCTTTTTTTCAAAATTATTTACTCATACATATCATTTCATTTCGAAATTATCATTGAAATATCAAAATACTTTATATAGTAGAAGCAGTATATGCAGTTTTTGAATATTGTGTGATGTTGACAATGACTACTTATGCAATAGAATATAGAATTCCAGAAAACAACGGATATTTGGAACAACATATCAAAGTCCTTGTTTTGTACATTTGATACTGTTGGACCCTTAATGACTAGAACAAGGCCTATAACTGAAACATTATTTGACGGTCATTTCTGTGTTTTAGAATTGAAGCTGCTATCTTTTTTCAATACAAATTTAAAAGATTGACTTACATGTGTATCTTTAAAAGTTACTGCTTTCTCATAAAAATAAGAAAAACACCGTACGATAACTTACCAAATAAAATGGAAAGTTCTGTTCCTGCATTCTCTGGCCTGTTTGTGATAAATGCCTTTCTGGGGAATCATATAAACACAAAACTTCTTTATAGGTTTCCTCGTCAATATTTGGTAAAATTCGAAGAAATTTTAATGTCACTGGTTCTCTTATGTCTAGAAATCCAAACTAGAAAGAGTAAAATATGGTCAGTATATTATTTAATCAAATTTACATTATTTATCTCGGAATATCGCTAAATGTATACTTTGCCACGCCAAATATGTTTGTTGTTAGTCAGATGTGCTTGTTTATTTTTTGTGTTTTTATTTTTATTTTAATTATAATTTAAACAAAGAAACTGGCATTTATTTATTATTTCTTAATTTGTGCTCCTTTTGTCTCATCATACATTGTATCTGGGTTTTAGATATAAAAGATCAAGCTGCTCCCCCTCCCTACCTTAATAAAGATGTGTGTCTTGTTTCTTCGTCATATTCATTTACCATCTAACAAGAATATGTCCATAGTACATGGATGCCCCACTCGCACTATCATTTTCTATGTTAAGTGGACCGTGAAATTGGGGTCAAAACTCTAATTTGACATTAAAATTAGAAAGATCATATCACAGGAAACATGTGTACTAAGTTTCAAGTTGATTGGACTTCAACTCCATCAAAATAAACTACCTTGACCAAAAACTTTAACCAAAATCTTTAACCTGAAGCGGGACAGACGGACGAACGAACGAACGAACGGACGGACGGACGGACGAACGGACGCACAGACCGAAAAACATAATGCCCCTAGGTGGGGCATGAAAATTTAGAAAGACAAATGCACAAAATTGTGAAATATAGATCGCCGTCTTCTATTTTCACATAAAAAAAGTCGAAAAGCAACAAAGATGTTTACTAGCCTAAGTTCGTTTACTTCTTCTTGGTAAACATTAACAATATTGTTACCAAATTTTAAATATGCTGCTGTATGTATCTATAAGGAACAATAAGGTAAATGTAAAAAGATGTGGTATGATTGCCAATGACACAAGAGACAAAATGATGTAGAAGGTAAGTTATTATAGGCCTTCAACAATGAGCGAACTCATACCGCGTAGTAAACTATAAAAGGCCCCCGAAAGGACTTAAGTTCATCCAGTGGTATACTGACGCAGCGTTTAAAATAAATATCCGTTTGGATCTATAACATTTAAACTTGTTTTAAAACAACCACTTATGATAAATTCAAATGTTAAAATTGTTAATATTGTCATTTACTGTAAGAATTATCAGGAAAATATCAAATATAACCTGTACAAAAGTTACCCTTTTGAGGATTCTAGGTTTATCTTGTGCTGTTAAATCGAGAGGACTGATAGCTAGGCTGTTACTGTGTAATCTCTGACTAAGTCGGGTATTCACATACGTATGTCCAGATATTTTTGTTGCACCTAATATAAAGAAATCGAACATAAGATTTGTTTGATAACATGAACATGGGTTTCTCTATTTGCAAAAAGGAGTATATGAATAAGACGCAAAGCAAAATGTTGTCACAAAAAAAGCAATAAGAGCGAGAAATATTTGAAAGGGATGACACGTGGATGCTCATTTCCCAAATCTCGCTTTTGTTTGCAGTTTTTCCCACTTACAATTTTTTTCCCTTTTTTCAACCCCTATATCCCACATCCCCAATTTTTATAAGCTTCTATACCCCACATCCCAACATTCTTTTACCCCCTATATCCCACATTCCAACATTCTTTTACCCCCTATACCCCACATCCCAACATTCTTTTACCCCTATATCCCACATCCCAACATTCTTTTATCCCCTTTATCCCATATCCCAACATTCATTTACCCCCTATACCCCACATCCCAACATTCTTTTATCCCCTTTATCCCATATCCCAACATTCATTTACCCCCTATACCCCAGATCCCAACATTCTTTTATCCCCTTTATCCCATATCCCAACATTCATTTACCCCCTATACCCCATATCCCAACATTCTTTTACCCCTTTATCCCACATCCCAACATTCTTTTATCCCCTTTATCCCACATTCCAACATTCTTTTACCCCCTATACCCCACATCCCAACATTCTTTTATCCCCTTTATCCCACATCCCAACATTCTTTTATCCCCTTTATCCCATATCCCAACATTCATTTACCCCCTATACCCCACATCCCAACATTCTTTTACCCCTATATCCCACATCCCAACATTCTTTTATCCCCTTTATCCCATATCCCAACATTCTTTTATCCCCTTTATCCCACATTCCAACATTCTTTTACCCCCTATACCCCACATCCCAACTTCTTTTACCCCTATATCCCACATCCCAACATTCTTTTATCCCCTTTATCCCACATCCCAACATTCATTTACCCCCTATACCCCACATCCCAACATTCTTTTACCCCTTTATCCCACATCCCAACATTCTTTTATCCCCTTTATCCCATATCCCAACATTCTTTTATCCCCTTTATCCCACATTCCAACATTCTTTTACCCCCTATACCCCACATCCCAACTTCTTTTACCCCTATATCCCACATCCCAACATTCTTTTATCCCCTTTATCCCACATCCCAACATTCATTTACCCCCTATACCCCACATCCCAACATTCTTTTACCCCTATATCCAACATCCCACATTCCTTTAACCCCTCCCACAGCCCAAAAGCGTGTCATCCCACTCAAATTTTACTTGATAACATTAAAAGCACAAGTGATGCGTGGCTATGGCTTTATTTTGATTTAGCCCAACGCCCATTCATACCCCATCAGTTTGACAAAACATATTCTGATGAGAAAGGTTGTAACATTGTCTATAACTCTAAAAAATTAAAAATTAAAATTAAGAGAATATGTATTTTAGATACGGGTTATGTTCTTCTCATATATTTTATGATGGTATGATACTAAACCCCTAACGGGAGGGATTGTACTTGATTTTCATATGATCACATTCTCAATTTTATTAAGTTTTATAACAGTCATGTCTTCAATTTCAAACATTGATTTGAGAAAATATCACTGCATGCATATATATCTTTGCTTAAATTGTTCAGATTTAATATAAAAGTAAGGAGATGTTGTATGATTGCCAATGAGACGACTTTCCACCAGGGTTCAAATGAAGCGGATATAAGCAATTATAGGCCACCGTACGTCTTTCAACAATGAGAAAACCCATACCGTATAGTCTGATATAAACGGCCCAAACAGCACAACATAAGAAGAAACTATAAAACTCAGTTGCAATCAGTTTGGTGGGGTTCGTGGTTTAGGTGTTGTTTTATGTATACTGTTGTTTGTCTTTTGGTCTTTTTTTCTTTTTTTTTTGCCATGGCGTTGTCAGTTTATTTTCGACTTAGGAGTTTGAATGACCCTTTGGTATCGTTCGCCTCTCTTTTGCAATTGGCTTAACTCAAAAAGATCGGTACTAGGCATAAAAACAAATAAAATAGAAAAAAATAGACACTGAGTACGAGTACTCGCAGTTACTGAAAGCTAGATGAAAGTTTCTGACATTAAATACCATTAAGAAAAAAAAACTAGTTGTTCAAACATTTCACAAACCGAAGATTCCAATTTTTTTCTGTGGGACGTCTGCAAACTATAAATGAGGTTTTTGATAAATTAAAATTCACTATTTACTGTAACAGTGAAAAAGCAGAACAAGTAAAATGTCGGTTTTTTGTCTTTGAAGCAATAATGGTTTATGAACCGCATTAACAACTATTTCCATACTTACTACTTGATCCACCGTGAATACACTTCAGCTGATAAATCAGTTTTGGTACTTCCTAAGGAAAAAGAAACCGATATTACCTTATGTTAAATAAGACATTTGGTGCATCCTTAATTTACTGCTGCAACTTTAATGTAAACACTTCCTATATCAAACCCTGAAGCCGTAATGTTGTTCATGCCAGATATATGTATATATATATATAGCACAAACAACATTTTCAAAAAGACAAAAAAAGTGAAAAAGTACATTTTTATTTAAAAACAAAACGCATTTGACTAACAGATCAAACAACAGATGTTCTTAAACCCTGCTGACTGCCATTGGCGATTGCCAAATAAACGGGTCACAAGATGTAACAAAATGGATCTTTATTATTAATTTAATACCACTGTGTCCAGCGCTCTAGACCACTCGGCCACCTAAACTTAATTAAAAATTCAGCTTTCGGTGGCCTAGTGTTACCTTTCCTCGTCAGTAGAATCTAGAGTTGTAACACAGTACATGATATATTAGGCAGATGCAGTCACAGAAATAATTATACGATAAGTACGTCTAAACAAGTGACAACTCTACGAGAGATCCATGCATTGGATCACCAGTGAAGGTGATACACGGCTGAAAACACACATTATATTCATAATTACTCTAAATATCAGCACAACAATGTTAATTCTGCAAATTTGCGGAAGCAAATTTTTGTTCTTCCCTCGCTGGGATTCGAACTCATGCTATAGGGATACTGAGACAACACCGCCTGCACTGTGTTCAGCGCTCTAGACCACTCGGCCACCTAGACTAAACTAAAAATTCAGCTTTCGGTGGCCTAGTGTTATCTTTCCTCGTCAGTAGAATCTAGAGTTGTAACACAGCACATGATATATAAGGCATGAAGATGGAATATATATAAAATCAGACAAGTGCAACTTTGATGTTATAGCACATGACGTAAAAATCCAACGTAAATCAAAATTTTAAAAATTCTTATGTTATCCTCCAACCGAAAGTTTTTACCTGTTTTTTTTTCTCTTTATCGCGTCTTTAAAGTCAATCTGATTTAAATACAGATCCTGTGTTCAAGCTTGGCTTACAAGGATCTGAAAACGCTGCGTTCTATTTTCTGTTTTAAAGACCTTTCGGGATCCTCTGGTTTTATCGGAGTAACACACCTTCTAATTTGAAGGCTATGATTTCATTGGCTGATGTAATAATTACCAGAACAGAAGGTAAAACTGAGAGTAGTCAGATCCTTGTAAGCTAAGCTTGGGCACAGGATATGTATTTTAATCAGATTGCTTTAAAGTTAGTTTACGGTAATGGCTACTTGACCTTTGATACTTTCGGATTCCATGTTTTCGGTTAAGTGCACCACGGACCAGAAATGCGCAAATTATACAGAATGTTTATTTATGTATCTTGTAATTTTTATTAGTTAATGCTTTATTTTCATTCAAATATTATAATTCCGAAAGTTTTGCACAGGTTAATTATTTTACTATTTAAAACTTACAATTTCAGGATTTCCTTGATTCATATCCAGTTGTGGCAATTCTTGGCTTTGTTTTGTGTTGAGTGGAACACTGATTTTTGAACCTGAAGAAGTACATTTAGACTAAAAAATCAGAGTGGACTATTAGTTTCGTTTTGTGTTTAATTAAAATTAATGTTTAAATATCTTCACCAAACTTGAGCACTGACAAACCAAAGTAGGAACACTAAAAAATGAATAAGTTTGTATTTTACAGATACATGCATCGTTAGCATCAATAACTATGTTTTAAGACTTCGCTCCACATTGTAGATCTATAGGTACATTAACTATTGTCGTCCATCAACGTGCTAGCCGTCCTTACATTTTGACCTAAAGTGTACCCGATGAAGATTATTCCATAAACACGTGTTGCGCCTTAAGTAGCATTGTTATATGATTGCTGCGCGCAATTTTTTGAGCAAAGGCTACTTAGGAAGATTTAAGAATTGTTTCATCCAAGATTTCTATGCCATCTTCTAAAAACCGACCTCCTAAAGAGTCAGGATAGATGAATGTAAATAAAACTTTATGCACTTTCGTGCATCCGGGTCACCTGGAACGCTCAAACCGAAACATTTGAAATACAGTGATGTATCATATGAGGGTCTGGATGGGGTCCTTCACTTCATTATTCTTTAATTTTTTAGGCCATTTTTCTCTTTTCTTTTTTTGTTTTGCCCATTATTATCTATTCTTTATTTTTTTTTCTCTATTCTTAATATTGTTTTTCCTATATTCTGCACTTTGTACCCATTATTCTCTATGCTGTAAACTCCATGTAGACCCTCGTGTATGAATACCTACAAACATTGAGAGCTTTTCGACCAAAACGGAACTAAAAATTAATTGAATAGCAAAATTCATTTAAGGTAAACTTTGCCTGATAGAATATTTATCAGAATATCAGTCGATTCATATTGCAACCGACAAAAGATAGCTACGTGTATTAGAAACATACGCAAGCAAATATATTTGACATCGGATATGGAAGCTTTACATGAATTTAACCAGGCGTATTGTTTTTCTTAAATTGTTTAACATTTCACAGCAGTATAACATGTTACTTTTATTATTCTTCCCTTAGTTTATCTATTTTGTATTTACATTTTATCATAGATTAAATTTATTTGTTCAGACTATGTTCACTGGTGTTAATATGTCTTTTGATTGAGTGACGCCATTTCAATTGATATTTTATAGTGTGTCTTGTATTGTTTCAGATAAGGGTGAAGGTTTGGTACCATTAAAACGTTTAAACCCGCTGCAATTGTTTGCACCTGTCCTAAGTCAGGAATCTGATGTTCAGTAGTTGTCGTTTGTTGATGTGGTTCATAAGTGTTTCTTGTTTCTCATTTTTTATGTAGATTAGACCGTTGGTTTTCCCGTTTGAATGGTTTTACACTAGTAATGTTTTGGGGCCCTTTATAGCTTGCTGTTCGGTGTGAGCCAAGGCTCACGGTTAAAGACCGCACTTTGACCTATAATGGTTTACTTTTATAAATTTTGACTTGGATGGAGAGTTGTCTCATTGGCACTCATACCATATCTTCTTATATCTATATAAGATACTTGCCAACACAAGATGTTCTTAGAAGTAGCTTGTCTATAAACATAATAAACTTACTTTACATACTTGTAATAAAAGACCAGCATAAATACCTTGAACTTTGAATTTTTCGTCGTTCAACAGCAATCCCATTTTTGTTTTTATCGCTGAAATGTCCGATCTATCACTTGGCTGTGTTTGTGTTAACCCTAGTATTGCATTGTGTACTTCGTTCGGGATACATGGCCACTTGTACAACTTCAGATGACTGAACAATATCTTAACATAAAAGAGGATTCATGTTACTTGTGCTATTATTATCTTAAAACACAACAGTGTACCCATTGCTACTGATGATAGTTTTGCTTGGTGATATACTTCAAAATTAGATATTTATGTTTGTTTCACCTTTGACCTGCCACTTTCTACATACATGTATCGATATTATCTTGTAAGCTCTGTTGCCAATTATTTGGTGAAGGTGTCGAGAGTAATAAAAAAATTAATCCTTAAAAGCAACGAAAAAGACTTTGACTTTTATGTTTTTCATAATACCCTACAAGTCTATAGTTCGGACGTGCAGTTGTCAAAGGCTATACATATCTGAACAGTCAGACCTCAGCTACAAATACACGCCAACAAGTGCATGTAGGTTACTCAGGTTTTGTAATGATTGATTTTTATCTCTCCCTTGTTTTTATACAGTAAATGTTGTTACCTTTCATCTCAAATAACTGCTTTTACTTTGTAACACTTTTGCAATTCAAGCATTGTTACATCATATTAAAAAATCATGGTTGCAACCCCAACCACCCAAAAACAAAGCATGTTGGTTTCTCTGTGCAATATGATAAGAATGATGTTATAATTTTCAATCGAATGTTAGTGCATGTGAAGGCATTGTGAGTTATTTCCCTTCTTCGGGCGCTTTACACTGCATGTCTAACCAATGTATACCTCCTGTTATCAGAATCACTAATGAAACTGAGCTGGTACTTCTTTGTAAATAACTTTAAAAAACGGAGTTTGCATTTTACTGAAAGTATAAGCAGAATCCTTTAATAGAATCTCATGTGATAGCCAATGCTAACATATTAAACTGCATGTTATTATGTGCATTACTTTTTTCGTGGAATTTTGAGCAAACAATTTTTTTTTTAAATATATATTTGTATACAATTAAAAGAATTTGAATTTCATTTTATGCTTACGTATTCCAGTATTTGATCCGTTGGAGTATTATAAACCTCTGTGTACGGATGACAACCCCGAGTAAATACTTCATACAAGACATTTCCAAGCATCCATGCGTCCGTCCGTTTGTCAAACCTATCTTCTAAAATACTTTCTGGAGAAGACCAAAGGACAGGAATTCCAACCACTTCTATAATATATAAATTTATTTCTTTTCAATTTTCCTTTACTATTAATTAAGTTGGTGGATCATGATGCATAATTGATTGTATGTATTAGATTGTTTGATCTTAATGCATAATTGATTATATTTATTAGATTGTGTGATCTTAATGCATAATTGATTGTATGTATTAGATTGTTTGATCTTAATGCATAATTGGTTGTTTGTATTAGATTGTTTGATCTTAATGCATAATTGATTGTATGTATTAGATTGTTTGAATTGATTGTATGTATTAGATTGTTTGATCTTAATGCATAATTGATTGCATGTATTAGATTGTTTGATCTTTATGCATAATTGATTGTATGTATTAGATTGTTTGATCTTAATGCATAATTGATTGTATGTATTTGATTGTTTGAATTGATTGTATGTATTAGATTGTTTGATCTTAATGCATAATTGATTGTATGTATTAGATTGTTTGATCTTTATGCATAATTGATTGTATGTATTTGATTGGTTGATCTTAATGCATAACTGATTGTATGTATTAGATTGTTTGAATTGATAATATGTATTAGATTGTTTGATCTTAATGCATAATTGATTTTATGTATTAGACTGTTTGATTTTAATGCATAATTGATTTTATGTTTTAGATTGTTTGATCTTAATGCATAATTGATTGTATGTATTAGACTGTAAGATCTTAATGCATAATTGATTGTATGTATTAGACTGTTTGATCTTAATGCATACTTGATTTTATGTATTAGACTGTTTGATCTTAATGCATAATTGATTTTATGTATTAGATTGTTTGATCTTAATGCATAATTGATTTTTTGTATTAGATTGTTTGATCTTAATGCATAATTGATTGTATGTATTAGACTGTTTGATCTTAATGCATAATTGATTTTATGTATAAGACTGTTTGATCTTAATGCATAATTGATTTTATGTATTAAATTGTTTGATCTTAATGTATATTTGATTGTATGTATTAGATTATTTGATCCTAATGCATTACTGATTGTATGTATTAGACTGTTTGATCTTAATGCATAACTGATTTTATGTATTAGATTGTTTGATCTTAATGCATAATTGATTGTATGTATTAGATTGTTTGATCTTAATGCATAATTGATTGTATGTATTAGATTGTTTGATATTAATGCATAATTGATTGTATGTATTAGATTGTTTGATCTTAATGCATAATTGATTGTATGTATTAGATTGTTTGATATTAATGCATAATTGATTGTATGTATTAGATTGTTTGATATTAATGCATAATTGATTGTACTTGGTCTTGAGTGTCTAATGTTGTGTTTTGTAGACTGTATGTCTTTTCGTCGTTTTCCGTTTTTTGCCATGGCGTTGTCAGTTTGTCTTTGACTTATGAGTTCGAATATCACCTTGGTATCATCTCTTTAATCGAGGCCATTTTTTTCTTACATTTAACATTTACAAAAACTTTGGTTGAACTGCGCTACATATTCATGTGCATTTCCCAAGAAAGGAACCATGTCAAAGGTCTATAGTCTGGGAGAACATGATTTATTTATTAGTTGTTATTGGCTTTAAAATAGCTTACAGTAACTGCGAGTTCTCTTATTTCGGTGCTTTGTTACATTGTACTATTGTTTTATGTTAGTTGTTTTGTGCCTCGTACCGATCTATTGAGTGAAGCCATTTGCTACTGATTTTTACAGTTTGTTCTTATGTTGTGCTGTTACACCACTGTCCAAGATTAAGGGAGGGTTGCGCGTTCACAAACATATTTAACCCCCGCCACATTCTTTATGTGAACGTTCCGAGTCAGGAGACTGTAGTTCAATGGTTCTTTTTTGGTTCGTGTCTGTCATATTTGTTTTTAGTAAATTATTTTGCTATAAATTAGTCCGTTGGTTTTTTCTCGTTTGAATTGTTTCACATTTTTCATGTCGGGGCCTTTTATAGCCGACTATACAATATGAGTTTTTGTCGTTGTTGAAGGCCCTACGGTTGCCTATGGTTGCTAACATCCAATTCATTGGAACTCTGGTAGATAGTTTTCTCATTGTCAATTTTACCTCATTTCCTTATTTTTATATCAATGGTTCTTATAATGATTTTTCTTATCTGAGATTTTGATGTCGATATAAAATCTTATAAAGTTTCTATTTATACACAACTCATTAAGAGTAAGAGTCATTAATTAGAGTTTGACGTATTGTCTATTGTTGGAGATGTTCGAAAATAGATGTCTTTTGGTTATTATGTCGTTGTTTGCTGTATTATGACGTATACCATAAATCTTTTATTCGTACATATATTGGTTGATTTAATGCGCATATCGTGTTACTCTTATGTATTTAGTTTAAACCGATTTTGATGTTTAAGAAGTCATTTCTCTCTTCATATTCATTTTTATGATAATTATTGTGAAGTTGAACTCTCTTATATATTATCTTAAACATCAAAAACCATTTTAGATGTGCTTTCCCCGTTCATTATTGGCTGTTCAGCAAAATCCCAAGATGAATAATATATGAATGTGGTCTCAAATTCTACGACTTATTATTGATCTTTTGTTTAATATTTTATTTGGATATCTCATGGTCATCATCATCGAGTCGTTTAAATTTAATTATTATGATATAAATTATCAAAGTTGTGTTTTCCTTGTTTAGAACTTCGCTTTCTTGAGGGTTTTGATAGTCTCAGATAAAGAAAAAAATAACATTTCAGATTTGTTTTTGAAAACGAAGAAGTAACGGTTCTAGAAGGAAAATGTTAGCCTAACTCATTATTTGGTTAAACATTTTAAAAGGCAGTACTGATAGTTACTTTGTCAGATAACAGAAATAAACAAGAATGGTTTTGATTTTCAAAATGTGTCAACCTGTTTACAATCTTAAGTTATATTTTATGTGTTTTTAACTTGCTTTTTTCCTGGCTGGCTTGCTGGCTAGTATGTTTTTGTATTAAATTTTAAAAGGCATGATATAAGTTATTTACCTGCAATATCGCTAGTTTGACTTGTCGCAAGACTGAAGTCATGTAAGAACACCGTCTTTCCTTGATGTCGTATGCTAAATGCTGAACAGGTCAAATTTCTGTGAACGGTTTTGTGTGTATGTAAGAACATCACAGCTTCTATAATGTCCACAACTAGTTCTAATAGTCGGTGCGTCTGTAACTGATTTTCAACATGTCTACTGTTTAATAAATAAGTTAACAGATCGGGATCTCTCGACTTTTCAGTTACATAAAATAACGGTATTGGACGACACTGGAACGCAAACAATTGCATTATGCATCGATGAGTTACACCTTCATGCAACGAATGGAGAACTTGTAGTGCACTGGTGTGACGATCTGTTTCATACTTCTTTGATTTCAGTATATACTCCTCTACGTCACTCTTCGAGAGCGCGTTGAGAGTCGGTAAAAGCATGTGCATAGTCACAATGGTAGAATCTGCCATTGTTCCTTCATAATCTACCCACTCAGGTTTAAAATCTTCACCTATTTCAACACTACCAATTCTTATCTTAAAATTGATGGGATGCAGTTTTAAGCTGATTGTTTTGACAAACCTCTGTCTAATTTCATCTGATTTTACATCATGTTTACGTAGTAAATATATGATGTTGACAATAATTTGTTGACTGCTACTCAACAACAAGGGTTCTATCATGACGAGTAACCGTTTACGCAGAGAAAGTCCAATTCTGTCATTGTCAAGGAAAAGATTTAACATTTTTGCGAGTTTCCAACTCAATTGAGATGGCGTTCTTTGGAAATCAACATCTGAAATAAATTAGATATTTTAGTAATATGAATTCATTTTTGTCCTCAAAATAGCTAATATGCACCATAAAAAAGTAACTTTCTTGGCCTACACTTTTATTTCAAACAAACTTTTTATGCAGAAATAAGCTAGTTATGATCAAAACAAAAGTCTAACCTGTGGCATTATAAATACCTTTGAGTAGGGGATGAAGAAAGTTTTGTTTGTTCCAGAAATTGTTTTGAAATATCAAGAAAGTTTTTGATTAGCTAAAAATAAGGTCAGTATTCAGTATTTTTAAAACTTTTTTTTATCAGCTATCAAAAAAAAATTATAAAGTTGACGACAAAAGCATTGTGTTGTCCCTTAAACCTAACGGCCAGCTTTGGAAGGGGGAATTTTTCCTTTTTTTCCGCCCAACCCATGTTTAACGATTATTATATGTTTTGTAAGCTTTTATCGTTTCCATTTCTATCAAGCAAAATAAAAACAATATCGTCGGCAAAAAAAAAAGAAACGAAAGACACCAATGGAGAATCGAAACTAATATAGAGTCGAAGAGAGATCGACAAAACCATGAAAAAAACGAAAAGACAAACAAAAGCCTACACGTCACTTAGCAACACGAACCCACCAAACATTGCAGGTGAAATATCCGAATATTAAACCTCTTTTGAAATCAATCAAACTTTTCTTAAACACTACATCAATGCTCCAATATGGTAGACATGAAATTATATTTTATTTTGAAATGTTAAACGATATAATCCTTACATTCTACTGATTTAAAAGCTGACTTTTTAGCCCTTTGATACAACTGAAAGCTAAACAAGAACCTTTCATTAACATTGAATATAACTTATCCTCTCAATCCGTATATTTAAACAGTCAAATACTATATAAACTTTATGAGACCTCAAAGTAAATCCAAACATTTATCAATCTCTTTGCTTTTAAAACAAATTTTGAAGCAAATTTCCCACAAAAATTATGAAGTGAATTATAATAATCTTACCTATATCCTTTCCTAATCGTAACAATACTGTTTTAGTTACAAGATGAAGGACTGAAAATAAGACATCGTTTATCTTTTGTTTCCGTCTTGCCTTTCTCAATAACTGACGAATAAGCTGATCGAAAAATTCTGTGATTTCCATATCCACTGTTTTCATTACCTATAATATTCAAACATCCAGACATTCTTGTATATAAAATTGTGTGATCAATCCAAGAGAGACGTAACGCTTGCCGTATCCAAAAAATATATGCAGAAATGTCAAAGTCCTAGTTTTGATTTGGGAAACCCCATAAATTTGTCTGATCAAACATTTTAATAGCATTTGATCAAAAATTCTAAAATCATTTGATCAAAAGTTCTAATAGCATTTGATCAAAAATTTATAAGCAGGTGCACAACGTCATGCCCTGTACACGAATCTGTGCAAGTTTGATTGAATTCTGTCGAGCCTCTTTCAAGAAAATATATTGCGTATTAACAGATGAAAGTGTGACGCGTAAGACATGGACGACAACGACGACGCCATACGACAGAATTGGTCCTAGTTGTTAGACGCTTCGCTATCAAGCGACACGATAAAGCAATTATCTTTCAAATCTTACTGGTGTGTAACTGAATGTCATAATAATTATATTGTTTTGGTTAATAAAATGTGGTTATAAAAATTTTCGAGCAAATTATTATAGTTCTTCTATATATTCTTTTCGTTTTAGTCTGTTGTTTGTTTTAAAAGTACCCCGTATTTTTGAGCTTTTATCCATTGATGTAGTCAAAGCAAAACCGGTGCTAGTGACAGTTGACATTGTGTAAAGTTTGCGTTTTTGCTTCGTGTTGAAGGCTTCACCACGACTGTGAGATGAAGAACAGCAACTAAAGCGTCGTTCTTTTGTTTCTGGTTTTGTCAAGTGCATGCAGGGATTTTGTATCTTGATTAAACATTTTCCATCTTTTCAGGTACAATATGCAAGCTTAAGGAGAGAATCAAGTAGATACTAAAAATGAAGCAATATCCACTATCAAATTATCTAACAGAGGTACGCAGTAACCTTTTCAATAAGATAATAATAATAAACAAAAAAATGACAATATTAAAATAATGAGATGTGATATGATTGCCAATGAGACAACTATTCACCAAAGTTTAAATGATTGTTGATATATGAGAGGTCATCGTACAGCCTTCGCAAAGAGAAAACCAATACCTTATTCAAGTATACTTTGAAAGATATAACCTTTTGTAGCTATCAACTGCTTGGATTTAACATTTTTAAATTTATTTTAACAGTACAAATAGGGTGTCACGACTTTTTTGTTTGTTTTATTCAGAAAACAAATAAATAAACACGTACAGGGATTGGAAAACAATGGACACGCAATCACTTATACAAATTCCTCTCCTGTTTGTAACAGAGCTTGTATTTGTACAAGTAATATAATTTAAAATTTGGATTGGTATCCTCATGTCCTAACTGTTCATTCATCTCAAATTGATTGAAACATTGAAAAAAATCATAGTACAGAAAAATATTCTGAAGTCCGGAAATAAACAGATCATCGAATGTTCTTCAAATTTTGAAAAAAATACTTGATGAGATACATATACATTACATGTGTATTATATATGTACATACCAGAAACGTGACTTGTTTTCTCTCAACAATGAAAGGGCTTTGAATCATTTATTTTGTCTTTTTTCAAATAAAATAGCTAGTCTTGAATGAACATTTTATCAGAAGAGTGTTTGTTTATCCTTACTGGCAATGTTTGCCACATTTGAATATTGACAGATACATGTAAAAAGATGTTTGTCAACTTACCTGATTTGCAACGAAAGCGAGGCATGTATACTGTTCGAGGAAGCACATGGTGTTTTGAAAGTCTCGTAATATGCGACTTCTATTTTCTTGAATCATCAACGCATCTTTTAAGTTTCCAATTTTCAACGACGTTGAAACTCCGACTCTTGATTTGAAATCTACAAGGAGTACTAGAAGCGAATGTATCAAACCTGACAATGCATCTTTATTCCCTGCTATGTGATTCGCTACTAGGCTTCGCAAAGATTGGTCTGATTCTGCACAGAATGATTCAATTTCACCTTTGACTTTCTCGTCAAGTAATGTTATAGTCAATGTTGACAAATACAGCATAGAAATAGTATCTAGTACAACAGGTAATAGGTTTATCATGATATGAGAGTCTCCGAAATTAGCTTTTACTATTCCTAATAACCACTTTGCGGCTATGAAGAGATCGTTCGCCCGTAAACATCTATTCATTATATTGTCTTCTAGTTGTAACTGGTTCAAAGTTACAATAATATTTTCCTGGATGTTATAATCAGCAATCCCAAGCAATGTTATCAACCCAAGATAATCAGAACTCATACGTAGCGACTTTAATGTTACATTCTGTACTTGTTTGATCAACTCTTTCTTCTCTTCTACTCCAACAATGTAAAAGCGTCTTTTGAGATTGTCTAATGAATCGGAACGTACTAAAACTAATCAAGTAGAAACTATTCTATTTAGATATATTCAAAAATCAAAACAAGTATCTTAGCTAAATAATTTGTTATTATGTCTTATTACGACAATAGAAACTCTTTAATGATAACGTTTTCATGTTAATGTAGCAACATTAAACAGTATTTTCACTCAGGTCTTTTGTGGCAGATGTTGCTGATACTTTTGGAGCAAGTGAGTTCACTTCCGGTTGTTGGTGGGGTTAATGTTGCTCGGTCTGTAGTTTTCTGTATGGTATTTTAGTGCATGTTGTTTCTCACTCCGTCGTTTTTTAACATGTCTTTGCATGTTTGTCTTCGTCTTGCAGTTTTTTTATTGCCCTATGGTATTATCCCCCCCCCCCCCGCCCTATTTTGGTTATCACGACAGTTGTGGAAAATCTTCAAGAACTGACTATGTATTTGATCCGTCCTCCTAGACGGATTAACCGGATTTTAACATGAGAGTTTAAACGTGTTGAGCAGGACTGTTTACCTGACAGGACCACTGGAGTGTGAAAACGAGACATCGCGATCCTAGATTCCGTCTTCAGCGTCAATATTTAGGTTCAGTCTGTGGTTAAAGTTTTTTTTAGAAATTTATAACTTTGTCAAACCTTTATGGAATTTTATAAAATTTGAACAGAAGCTTGTTTATGACCAAAAGACAGTATCCAGAGCAAATTTATGAAACTATTTATTTTCTATTCCGTATTTTACTAATAAATGGACTTATTTTTTTTACAGTAACTGGTAATATTCATATTTAGTCGAGGTTGAAATTTTTCAGTCATCAATAATTTGTTAAACCTTCATGGATTGTTATGAAACTTGTACATAAGCTAATCTTCAAGACCAAGAAATAGCTTCTAAAGAAAAAGTTCTGCGGAACCCCTTTTGAATTTTCTTTGATATGGGTCGTGTTGCTCAATATTCTATTTTCTCGGTATTTTTTTGTTAACCAATGTTTAGAAAAATAAATGGTATTGGGGTTGAGGAGTAGGACTCTCATTGAATAAAACAATAGATCAAAAGAAAATCGCCTTTATTGTTATTCTTCATCTAGATATTTGTGTGTATGGTGTCATTCCTTCTTTTATTATTTTCTCCTTGGTATCCTTAGACTTTTTTTTATTTAACAAAAACATGGAATATTTGTTAAGTGACGTTTGTGCTCTTATTTTGCAGTTCAATTTGTAGTATTCTGTTATCTTGAATTGTTGTTATTTTTTTTCTGTACTTGATTATCCTTTAGAAAAATGTTCTTTGGTTAACTTTGGGTTCTTTAATACATATATAATGTTGTATTTGTAGGTGGCGTATTCAGTAAATTTGTTCGATCAGAGGAGTAAGGAAAATTCATACAGGAACAATTTCGCCTTGTATCAATTCTTTGGAGATAACTCAGTTTCGGATTACATCAAAAGTTCATTGAATACGGATACAAACACTTCCGTATATTTTTCGTAACAAAATATGCCTTTTCATCACATATAAAAGTGATTTAAACACTAAAATTTCGATATGCAAGATTTGTTTTTCATCTTCCTGGAAGAAAATAAATGTATAGAAATTGAAATTCATTTATAAGATAAAGGTCATTGTATATTTTCCCGAAAAAAATGGGGTTCAAAATTTAAACAATCTATACAATTGTGGTTAGTAGGTTGCATATTCTAAGTGAAAATCAATATTTGCCCATTCGATATGAATTGACAACTTTCTATTTTGATGGAAATTATTTTAAGAATAAATCGCTTAAGGAAAGTTTAAAAAGAAATGAAAACCAGTATATCCGTTCTTGATTATCTTTATTTCATAAAAACTCTGTAATTGTTCAATTTACAGAAATATTCAACTAAAGTATCTGCGCAAAATTATTTAATCTCCCAGTCAAAATCACAGCATCTTTGGTACGTGAATAAGTCCAATACGTTTACTGTTTTCAAAAATTATATATCTTTCAGAACGACACAAAAACCAAAAAGTGCTTTTCCAAGTAATGATAATAAATTCTCATTTTTTTCTAAATCTTTTTAAAAAATCTAAAAACATATGATAAGTGACATAGAAAACAAGCAAAAAATCCAAGATGGCAGCCTCGATAGATTTTCAGTAGTCGGAGGATTAATTTAACAATGGCTATCTACTTTAAGACGCTTCACGTTAGACTAGTTAAATATGGATGGATGGGAAGCAGAACTCCTGAACACTATAAAAATCCATATTTACTGATCTTACCTTTTTAGTACAATTGGATTTTTTATCTAATTCCCTTAAACTAGGTTTACATAGTAACTTACCAGATGGGAAGCAAGCTTTGGCCAAAAGGAATGTCCCTCTATTATTTTCTCCTGGTTCTAATGTAGACGAATGAACGAACCCACAATGTGAATGTTTGAAATGCCTTAAAGTTTGTTTTTTAAAAGTTCCGTCAATACTGCTCAGGTCATCGTAATCTGATGCAGAGTGTTGTTTGTAGAATAATTCTTCTTTTCTTTCTCTTTTAGCAGAAAGTGTTGTTTTGACGGAAGACGCGATAAGTTTGTCATCACTTATCGTAAAGAGTTTGAAACCGTGGAATATTTGTTTGGTTTGAAGTCCATGAAGATCACCAGAAATAATCACCTTATTATTCGCATCCTGTAGGTATCTCTTTATTTTTCGAATGTTTTGTTGTAGATGTTTACAGATAACCAGAATTATGAAATCTGACTGTTCTACTATTCTTGGTACTTCTACATTTAAAGCATCTGCTTCCACAACGAAGTCTGTAGTTGTCAAATCATGGTGCTCGAGGGTCGAATGGAGGTTTGAAGCCAATGTACATCTGTCTAGTAGAAAACATCTCATAACACATACTTGATAAGAATCCGTATTAACGTAGCTTGTGCTTTCCATTCTACAGTTTAGGTCTGGTGTAGGTCTAACTTCATTGGATATTCCATCTTAAAAGAACGAAGTTGAATCTTAGGATACACACTGAGGATGTCTCTATGAGAAATTACTAAATTCACGGAAAGCTTGTTAACAAAGTACATAAATACCTTTTAAACTAATATATATCCAAAGGTAAGCTATAAGCTTATTGAATTCATAGGTCAAAAATATATAATTACATTGCATGTAAAGCGTAAAGATCTGTTGAATAGTTTTATATTGAATAGTTAAATGCTACGATTTGTTGTTAGTTTGTCATATACAACCGGGAAGTTATTGTCCGTTATTTTAAAGTATATAAAGAAATTGAATAAAGTTATATTTACATCCAATTCACAGAGGTCTTACTTTTTTGTCGTCAAATTGTCAATGCATTGATTACCACGGTCGTTTTAAAGCATAATAGAGGAAAATTGTATTAATTTTCAATATAATTACGTAATATTGCACCTAAGTATTTCACTCACTCGTACAATACCTGATTATAATTCCCACAAGTGAAGTATCGCAGACTTTTCCACGAAGTCGTTTCATAATAAGATACAAATTGTCCTTTGGTGGGAAGAAGAACGGATTCGTCCTTTGATGGGAAGAAGAACGGATTCGTCCTTTGGTGGGAAGAAGAACGGATTCGCAACAGTCAAGAGCAATGGCGAGAAGGATACATTTCGAGTAATTTCTTCTTGCAGCATAGAATAGAGAATGGAAACGGGGATGTATCAAAGGGCCAACAACCCAACCAATGAGTAGAAAACAACATAATGCCACGAAGGCCCACAATTTGCTTACTTGATTTTCCAGTATATTTATTTTTTTAATGCCGAATGTTTATTTGAGAATTAACAATATTGCTGTGGTTCTTTATTACAGGAAACCAGTATCAGTACTGCTTATAACGAAGGTCTGTCCTGAACATGCATGGAATAATTGCCACTGGACGTTAAGCAACTAACAATCAATGAATATAACGAATGGAAACTAACTCTTATTAATAATAGCTCTAGAGTCTAAAGACTGGCAATTAAGGAGCTGAAGTTTCTGGTGAAAAGTGATAACCACTGTCCACAGCAATATATCAATTAGTCCAGAAATATTACCGGTATATTCCAAACTTTACAAACATTGATGCAGTATAATAGACAAATGAATGAACCCACTACATCCTATTAAAATAACTCATTTCGAATACACATGTGTAACCTCTCTTTGGTTTTTGGTTTGTTGGACTTATACGCCACGTTCAGCAACCTTGACTATATCATGATGGCCTGTTTATATGGGTGGAAGATGGCAGTGTACCCGAGGAGAATCACCTACATTCTGCAGACAAACTGGCAATCTTTGTCAACCAATATCAGAGTCGACCACACATGTGTAACACTGATGTAAGATCCTTATGACATGCACATGATAGTTACTGAACGAATAAGAAGGAGACCATGCTTTTATTTGGCTTAACTGATATTCATTTTTGTCAAAATTGTAATACATATGTAAGTTGTTGGTGCCATATGAGATTGTGTTAATAAAATCGAACAGGTATTATAACCGGCAATAATACGTGTTAATTATAATTAATGTTTTAAAACAAAGTATCTGAAAATCTTAGATATAGAGAGAAAAAAATAATTAACCAAAAGGACGTTCAAAAGGAAATGGTTTTGCAATATTCCAACGATAAGTATAGATATATAGTATTGATGTAATGTGAAAAATTTCAAAATTATCGAGTGTTTTTGTGTGTCAGTACAAACCTGTTATTATGTCGGAATTCAAAGAGCACTCTTCTGGAATATAAAGCAAACAACCCTTTTTAGCTTGGTCATCATCAATACTGACTACATCAGGTTCTGTTAACTCGTTCGTATTTGGAGGTTTACAGACATCAACAATAGGTTTGTCTGTGTGTTGTTCAATTTCATTGCTTCCATTATTTTCTGTTGAATTTTGTTTCTTCTCACGTCTGTGTGACATTCCTTCATAATTGAAATTGGCGTGAACATAACTTGCAAGACTGTCGACATCAGTAACCGGAAAATTTATGAAATCGTAGGTATTTTCAATCGATGTCTCTTTGAAATTTCCAGCAATAACTGTTTTGTTATATTTCAAGCACTGTAGAATCGTTTCCAACTTTGACTTCAAATGGTCACAGTACATCAAAACAATCTGATCTGAACGATTTGTTATAAGCAACAGGTCTTTGAAACTGACCTTGTCGAGAATGTGTTCAGTTGGAACGAGATTAAAATTTTCAAAGATTGAGAAAACATTTGAAATAGGAATACAGGAATCTTTCTCCGAACATCTCAAAAATAATATACTGCCCTGGTCTAACTGTGACATTGTCAGTTTGATCAAAAAGACTGAAGAAAGAAAAAGAAGTTTTGTCAACATAGATCGTAAACAAAGTCATTATGTAATTACATGGTACTTTTATGATGAGATAAATACAAATTATTTACGATTATTTTACAAGTTGAGTCATTGGCATGCAATGCACAATAAATGAATTTAAAACTCCAAAGATATTTCAAGTGTGTGTTATATCTGTTTTTGCAAAATCATAACCGTACATTGGTAACCGTATAGCCAGGTCTATAGAAATCCTAATTTGTTCAACATTTAAAGTTACGTGTTTTTGATAAAAAGAAATAGATATTTAAATTCAATATGAATAATAAAAAATCTGTAATTACAAATAAGAGGTAATTACTGGTATTCGGATGTCCTTTAAACAGTTATATGAAACGAGTTTCTTCACGGTATTTATAACTTTTATAATGTTAAGGGAATTATTGAACCATGCATGCATATATACTAAACTAAACCCTATGAGCACGTATTTTTTTTACATTTTTTACAAATCCATAACGTTTCGCTGATAAAAAATATTTCATTCGGTGATATTTTGCTCGAAAAATATGGCTGCTAATTATTAACTTTTGGGTTTTGTTGCCGAGGTTTACCCATCGTAACTTTGATAAACAATCAACACAGAACCATTGAACACTTTCAATATAAGTGAAATGATAGAGCGATATTCATATGTTGTTTTTTCTTCTATATTTTCCATGCCTTTCCTTTTGTTGATTTGCCATAATAGTTATTAAATGATTAAGTGTATTTAATTTTTTTAGAATCAATTAACACTTTTTTCCTCCCACGATAGTTAACCTTTTCGTTCATCACGGGTTTCCATTTGCACTTGCGCTGTACTGTTGCCAAAATTCTAACGAGAGTTAAAGCTGTCCGTAAATTAGAGTACGGGAAGACAATAATTCAATAGTTGTATATTTCTGAAGATTTGGATAAGATAAAGGATTTTCTTTTAAAAGAAAGTCCATGTACACGTGTTTTATTGTAAAATTTAGCCATTTAAGTATAAAAACATAATATTCAACTTTTTTTTTCTAAATTACTTTAAAGCAACGTACGTCCATGTAGTAACAGACAAGCATATTGGAGCGAAAACACATAAACTTAAAACACAGTAAGACCATGTGTATCAACTGGGCAAGCATATCAAGCTTTGCTGCCATACATGTACCTTATAATATTACCGGTAGCCCCGAGTGAACTCAGAATTTGGGTACATTTTCATCGTCTGAAAGGTACGAATATGCCTGATGCTACATAATCAAAGCCTGGGAGTTTCAAAGTCAGTATAAATGTCACATTATCAATGTGTCAAAGCCTGGGAGTTTCAAAGTCGGTACTAATATCACAGCATCAAGTGTCAAAGCTTGTACTAATATCACAGCATCAAGTGTCAGAGTCATGGAATGACAAAGCCGATACTAATATCATAGCATCTAGTGTCAAAGCCAGGGAATGATAAAGTCGAGACTAATATCACAGAATTAAGTATCAAAGCATAGAAATGACAAAGTCGGGACTAATATCACATCGTCAAGTGTCAAAGCCAGGTAATGACAAAGTTGGTACTAATATCACATCGTCAAGTGTCCGGGCCAGGGAATGATAAAGTCAGTACTAGTATCACAGCATCAAGTGTCAAAACCAGTGAATTAAAACGGCAAAAATAACTATTCTTTAAAGTCCGTTCAGTAGTCAGTGTTCGGTACCATTGTGATATTAATGATACAACTCAGTTCAGATTTTCAGTATAAAAATTATACGTAACATCTATAACTAAAACAAAATTGACCGTAAACGATTATGGCCGTCCTGTTTAGGCCGCTCTGGTTTTATTTCTTTCAGACTATTTATGTATTTGTCTTTAAAGTGTTACGGCGACGACGGGGTTTATATTTAACGACCTTCACTACCCATGAGAGTCTTGTACGGTCGATACGGTTTCTATCATAAAGATATAATTTAAAACTTGTCGTGCGCACAGTAATCATGGTGGGTTTATTTTACTCCCCGATTTTTATTGCATATGCATACACAAACATTTTTTGGCAAAAACTTCACAAAATAATACATGAAAATAATTTGCAAGGACGAAAGCAAAAGTTTTTTTTAAGCATTTGAAAGCAAATACTTAGTTTAGTATTATAATTTACATTTTATAAGGCTACTACTTACCTGCAGGTATAAGACAGTATAAAACTCCAAACATGTAATACCCCCACGGTAGTACTAATAACACTAATATCAATGAAGTGTTGAAACATTGCGATGCAAACATGCGATATGTTTATGTATCTATTACTGATAAATTGACATTTTATCAAATTTCAAGTCAACTTTGTGGCAGGTACAGTTTATATATAACATATTCGTTGTTTTAAATAGCGTTAAATATTGGGTTTTGATTGAAATGAAGATACTTCAATAATTAATGATATGTTAAAAAGGGTTGTATGGCTGTTTAAAACAAAGGTTAGATATAGATAAAACTTTTCATACAAAATAACATGTACACCCGTTGGTCAACAGCACTTCTGGTTAACTAATATAATTGGAAAGGTGTTCTTTTACATGTAATCGATGCTTTAAGATCTGAGGAATTATGTATTAAAAAGATGTTTTTAATTTTAAAAAATCCACTTGTTTTTCAATTAGGAATATAATGCAGTTTTATTATAAGAATATTATAGAGGAAAGGTGACAGTATGTTTAATTTTTTTTCTTCTTTATATGTCAATGTTTTCTTCTTCTGTAATTTAATACGTTATCAAGAGTCGAAGCGTTTGAATCGAAAGAAGTGAAATTTGATTGGTCATCAAACTCGTGGCGGGCATTAGCTTATAATTGACACAGTGGTAGAGCAAATGTTACGAATGACCTTATCTCTTGATTATGAAACCATGTCTGCCCTAATTCTCATATAGGTCAATGTAGTTTCGTGGCAGATTCAATACAGAAACACCACCTATCCGGTAAATATTTACGCCCCTTTTGCATGCGCTTGATATTTCTAACTCGCGGATATATGGAAAAAAATATGCATGTTTTTATTTTTAATGAAAAATCATATTCAAATCATCTTTCGACCTAAAAATCTCAAGAGAAATGTATACTATATGAAACAATAAATATTAGTCCATGAGAGAGAGTAAACATACGATAACGAAAGAAGGAAAATTGATAGAAGGAAGAGAAAAAGAGGTCACCTTTGTTATTCGTCTGGTTAAGAAAACTGTGTCTTGATTTTCTGCATTGATAAGAACGCTGTTTACTTATATGTGACTAGCCGCGATATTTCCAAGCTAATGGGGGAACCTTGTCTAAAATTGGCTTTTAGCATAATTATCTAGTACATACTGAATCAAAACATTCTGTCGTGTTATAATGACATATCTGTGGCGATAACAATGAAACGGGTCTTTTTGAATATCGGGACTATTCGATGACGACTTTTTATTATCGAAGGCATTAATTTATAGAATAAAAAATTATTGTATTGTATTGGTGCTTATAGTAATTTCCAACAGCGTATTTGAATACAAATTTCAAATGATTTAAATTTACTACAATACAAACAGTTCTTAGCTTTCTTTTAGAAAATGTGATCTAAACTTGTTGTAATAAATTGAGTATAAAATTTGTCAACTTGAGAAAGCTTTAACAATCATTTTTTAAATTTGTCTTTTAAATTAGATTTATGATGCATGTATCTACACCATATAGCATGCTAAGCGTAACAGTTTATAAGTAGTTGTTCTCACAATCTAATTAAAATTAGTTCTCCGCACTTGCTCCTCATTTGTTTATATGTCGCACGTGGGAGCGACATATAAACAACCGAACGAAAATGAGGAGCAAGTGCGGAGAACTAATTTTAATTAGATTGGCGTAACACTTGTAAACGTGTATCAACTTATGGTTGGAATGAATGAAAGATATTAACCACAATTGAAAAAGGGATGCTACAAGTTACGCAGATCAATAGAACACTAACTACAATGGTGCATAACTTTGGTGAGCTTAAAACGAAAAGCAACGTGGAGTCTGAAGTAAAGAAACTAAAAAGCAATAATCTGAAATTGCTTCAATGAAGAATAAGAACGTCAATATCGATAGGGACATGATAAAAAAATAAAGAAAGATAACAACAAGGTGAATAGAAACATGCAAGAACTTAGCGATTTTATGGACGATATTAGAGCACAGCATGAAAGTAATGTAAAAGAAGTGATTGGAATCAGAACATCGATGAGCAAGGCAGTTAATGACTTTGAGGACATGTCACATGAAGTAAAGCAGGAAATAAAGGATTCGATCAACGAGGTTAAGGAAGAGAATTATGAGCTTAAAGATACCATAATTGATTTACAATGTCGCTCAATGAAAAACAATCTCATTTTTACAGGCCTAAAAGAACCAGAAAACGAAAACACGGAAAATTTGATTCGCGGTTTTATTAGAGACGAACTACTGTAACACATCTACCACAAGCTTGAACTAGGGAATGTGCATAGGTTTGGTACCGGAGCCCAACCTGGAAAACGTGGACGACCTCGGCCTGTCGTCGCAAGGTTTATTTACCACAATGATCTGGCGATGGTAATGTCAAACACCTATAGACTGAAAGGGAAAGCATACGGTGTAGATAAACGGTTTCCAGAAGCCATCGAACAGGCCAGAAAAGTCTCTATCCTATTATGAAAGAGAAGAAAGCTTAAGGACATCGTGTAAGACTTGTTGGAGACATCCTATATGTTAACGGAGTGATATATAACCCGCAGACTTTAAATTTTCCATCGCCTACCAGCATCAATCAGAAAGAAGGACTAAGAATTACGCCTGAAGACTACCAGTCGCGTAAGTGACGACGAAGAGAATCGTGAAACTCAACCGGCATTCCATAGGGAGCCCCAGAAAAGAAAGCGCGTAATGGTTTGACAAACTTACTTGACAGTGCTAAAAAAGCAATGTGAATAAGCAACACATGCTATGTACGATATTATTCGAAAATAAAGAGAACAAAGTTCAACTCGAACGTGTAACTGAAAAATTAATATGTTGACTTTGAATTGTTGTGGTGTAATTAAACGTATGCATTATCCCGAATTTATAGATATGGTTCAGATTTTATTTGATTTCTCT